ATTTCCTGCCAACTGCCCAACTTCCAAAGGGCATAACTCACTCATACGAACTCGGAATCGAGCAAACTCGGTGGCGTTGGAAAGATCATTCTATGAACTCCTCTTCACTCTCAAGCCCTAGCTCTCACTCTTTTAAAATGGGACAAACTGATCTAAAATCAGTCCAACACTAAAATATAACCAAAGGAAATGATTTGGGAAAAGATCAAAATACCCTTAAAATTCCCGGACGGATTTCCCCGCCAACTACCCAACTTCCAAAGGGCATAACTCACTCATACGAATTCGGAATCGAGCAAACTCGGTGGCGTTGGAAAGATCATTCTATGAACTTCGCAACCATAACTGGAACTACTCCTAAATCATCTTGAGCTAGAAGTTATAACTGTACAAAGTTGGCCAAAAAATTTTTTTCATACTTAGCCAAATTTCCAATTCTAGGCCTCTTCATAGTTATTTCAAATCGCCGGATGTTACTATCTTACCATTAATTAATAGTTTCCTACTATACATTGAGGAAGATACAACTAGATACATATATTTTTGCTACTAGATACACTAAAATAGAGAGAGACGAGTGAGATAGTCAAATATCCTAGATACATGCGAATCACACTAGATCTATACATGCATATGTATGTAACTTTTGTGATTCACATGAATCTGGGACACCAGATATATAGTAGAGTGACGAGAGAGATGGAAGAGAGGCAAGTGAGATTTGTCTATGTATCTCATATCGATACATGCAAATCCATTTGGATATAGTGTATCTAGAACAAAATACACCTAATTTTGACCATATGTATCTAAACGTATCTGGATGTACCCCAAATCTGATAGGATTCGTAATATTATAGACTAGAGTGTATTTAAGTAATTAGTTCCTAAATTAGTGAAATTTATGTAAGTTTTTTTTTTTCAAAAATTAATATATATAAAATAAAGATAGGAAGTAATAACTAGTCAAATAATGAACATAATTTCCATTCTTATTGTGCGTGTAAGAAGGACAATTTGGAAAACTTATGAAAGGGATCGATGTGCCTAGAAACTTTGTAGGAAGATTGAACCTTGGATTATTAATGGAATATTTTCATATGGATACAAAAATTGAATTATTTTATTATTTTTTTAGAAGAGTGTGGGAAGTAGATCTTCGTCAATATGTTTACTTCTTCGATAAGGATAATTTGGTCATTTTAAGAAGCGGCTAGAAGTAGGCATTCCTTTGTCAATGTATTTGCTTCTAGCTAAGGGTATTTGTGGAGTTTTTGTGCTTTTTTCGTTTTAATTTATTTGTCTTACTTTTCTTTTTTAGTTAGTTATATATTTGAAAATTACCTAAAAATATTTGTATAAATCACAACAATTAACAATTTAAAATATTAAAAGGTAGATAAAAATTCAGGTGACTCTTGAAATTCTGTCGGTGCCACATAAAAGGTAACTTGTAGTTGAATTCCGAATATTTTCGAGATTCAAAAAGCCCATCTTCAATAAATTGTTTTCACAATTTTTCACTCCAAATCAGTCACATTTTCTATTCATATTCAAATATAACTTCAATTTTCATAATCTTTTCGTGAAAGAAGATATTATTCTATTATACATAATTATATACTTTTCTTTTCTCTCTTTTAAACCCTTATTTTGTAATTCTTAATTTTTCCATTTTCATTTTTTAAAATCAACATTTCTTTGCCCTTTTACAGCGAATAAAGGCAATTTTTTTGGGAATAACTGATAGGATACCTTTTATATTTAATATATTTAATTTAAAAGAAAAGAAAAAACATCAAAATAAACAAGTCTTCAAGTCAAGCATACTTTTTTGATAGATACTTCATAATTTCTTTTATTTCAATTTATGTGAGTAGTTTTTTCTTTTTAATCATTCTGACAAACATACTTTTCTTTCCTAGTCTGAAAAATTGCATACTATGAAAGTAGTGTTAGCAATGCCACTATAGATTCTTCTATTGTTTATTATTTTGAAAAACATCAGGTTTGGAAAAAAATAATATTATGGTCTATGAAGAAATTGTCTATATCATGAGATATGTGAATAGATTACATTAAAGAAAAGTTATTCACTATTTTTGTTGATTAATGAATTTTTATAAATTCAATATATTTGAAAGTTGTAATAACTAACATTTACTTATACATATAGATATGCAATGGGAAAAGGTTCAAATATACCATCAACTTTGAGAAAATGTTTGTTTATTTATTCTAGAGCAACTTTTCACATATAGCAAACTTTAAAATTATATTTGTATGTTATAACTATAGTTTGCATAATTGCACTCCATAGCAAATTTTATGTTTGCTATGGAACTTTTGATTTGTATAATTCGCTACAAACATCCAAGTTTATACAAATTGTTCAGTTTTGTATAAATTCATTTATACATTATAATTTGTATAATAAGATCTGTATTTGTATAATTATAAGTGTATAGGACGAAAATATATATATTTGTATTTGTATATACACATTTATCTCGATTTATACAAACACAAACGCATTTTATACATTTTATACCGAAATGTAAAAATGGCTAATTGTATACTGAATCAGATTGCAAAAAAAAAAAGGATATTTGTTGCGAATACAATTAAAATAAACTATGGATATATCATTTACTTTGAATTAATAGTTTTCTATTTCATACAACATTCCCTTTATTCTATTCTTTAAACGTTTGGCTCATTTATGTCATTTTTTTTAGAAAAGGCTCATTCATGCCAATATTTGTTAACTGAAATGGCATAGATGGGCCAAACTTTTAACGGATGACATAGATTAGCCTTTTCTCAAAGTCCGAAGGCATATTTGACCATTTTCCCTTTTAAAAATAATTTAATCAATGACATGGCCGAATTATTATTGACCACGTGTAAAAACTATTTTGCAAACCCGGAAATATTTTTAGTTCACAAATAATGTCATGGATTGTTGACCATATCATATATGATTTCAAATATCTGAAATGATTCTAAAAGATCCTAGACAATATTCTACTTTAAGTTTAACTATGTAGAATTGATCACGCCATCGATATTGTGCAAGATATGATTTGATATTGGATCTTTGTATATAAATAATAGATAGTTTATCAATTGTAAAGCATAGAAATACAAAATATTTTTCATCTCTTTTTGGTTCCTGATTTATCAATTGTTATATATCATGGTATCAAGAACCTAATTTTTTTGCAGAAACTGCTTTACTTTTTGCTCTGTATTGTTGTTTGATTTCTATCATCGGTTATCTCTTGTCTTTCTAATAGAGTCACATTCTCACGACATTTTGTCTACCAAATTTGATGGAAAAATTATCCAATGTGAGAATTTCACAGATTTTTTTTCAAGGGAAAAACTTGTTTGGAATTTTGGATGGATCAACAACTGACCAAATGAAGACAAGGAAAAACATGCAAATCTACTGGATACAATGTATCTAGAACAAATTACACCTAGTTTTAACCACATGTATTTGAACATATCTGGATGCACCAAAATCTAATAAAATTCGTAATATTACAAGTTAGAGTCTATTTAAGTAATTAGTTCCTAAATTAGGAGAATTTACGTAAATTTTCAAAAATTAATACATATAAAATAAATATAAAGGAAGTAGCTAGTAACTATTCAAATAACGAACAAAGTTTCCATTCTAACAAGTCAATTGTGCGTTAAAGAAGGGCAACTTGGAAACTTATGAGAGGGATCAATGTGCTTAGAAACTACGTGACTATATTTTGGATTGTTAATGGAATATTTTTATATAGATGCAAAAATTGAATTATTTTACTATTATATAGAAGAGTTTAGGAAGCAGGTCTTTGTCAATATGTCTGGTTCTTTGATAAGGATAATTTGGTTATTTAAGGAAGCAGTTAGAAGTAGGCATCTCTTCGTCGACGTGTTTACTATAAGCTGAGGGTATTTATGGAGTTTCTGTGCTTTGTTCGTTTTAATTTATTTGTCTTACTTTTCTTTCTTAGTTAGTAATATATTTGAAAATTACCTAAATATATTAGAAATTACAATATTTAACAACTTAAAATATTAAAAAGACAGCTAAAAATTCAAGTGGCTCTCGAAATTACATTGGTGCCACATAAAAGTTAACTTGAAGTTGAATTCTGAATATTTTTGAGATTTGAAAAGCTTATCTTCAATAAGTTGTTTTCCCAAAATTTCACTCCAAGTCACTCTCGGAATGTAGTGGCTCCCTTGTTTTCTTTTTAAAGTAATTTTTTAGCAATAAAGTTAAGATTACATGTAAGTTAAAAAAAAATCATTAGTAACTAGAACTAAATAAAGGTTCCCAATCCCAATTACATATCCTATGTGAGCTATTAAAAAAATAAGAACATATTCAAGTCACATAAACAAGTTAAAACAAATAAATGCTAAATAATAATAATAATAATAATAATAATATAAGAGGCCATATAAACTTCACCAAATGAGTTTTGCTTGCTTTCATTGCTATTCGGGTAGTCTAAGATATAGTGAAGACTTCATATGCGGGTATGCCCGTAACGAGTCCAGGAGACTCTATTTTTTGCGAGAGTCCTTAATTGGGACTCCATTTTTGCTCCAAATTCATGCAAGTAAAAGAGAGGGTAAAGAGATTAGTAAGATAATCAACTTTACTCGATATCGAACAAGAATAGATATAACTAAGTTCAAGTTTTTTAGTGCAAGCGAGCATGAATTAAATAGTAATCCTTCAAATTTACACACGTCCAAATATATAACAGAATGACAAAGAGATTAAAAATATTTTTTAAATGGGTTGCACTTATTAAAGAAAATATATGATCTGCAATTTACTTTTTTCGAACTAAAACAAACTAAGGTAATGTCCTTTCCAGATTTTTTATACACACCATAGTGCTATTATTTAACACACAAAAAAAAACTAAAAAAAACTCATGATTTAACTAACAAACAACAAAGAACTTAAAATACTACGTACGTACAAAAATAAAACTTTACAAGGGTGCCTTATACTGCCTACTTTTTTAATTAAAACTTTACAAGGATACCCTTTCATGGCTTTTAATAAGAGAACATTTTAATTGCTGGCCATTCTGCCTACTTTTTAACTAAAACAGAAACGACATTGTAACAAAACATTTTTTTAACAAACCATTTTTAAAAAGAAAAGCTGATGCACATTAAAAAATAATAGTAATAATTTAGATATGGCAAACAAAATGAATTCAAGTAATATAATCATGCTGTCTAACACACCATGGAAACAAAGCTTTAAAGCTATACTAATCTCGAAAGTAATTTAGATACATTTCGGCATCAACAGTTATCGTAAACAAACTAAGAAAAATTACTTGCAAGACATGAATACTTAAAACAAGTCTGATATTTCATAACAGAGATGACGAAATATAGGAAAATAAAAGAGGCGAATGCCACCTGTTGCGGGGCAGTGATTAGTGAACGGAGACGGGACGAGCTAGGAGACAACAGCGAGTTCCACACCAATTTTATACTCGGACAGCCGGCTCAGCAGCTCGAATCAACTCCCAAAAATAGAAAAAATCATATTTCCAATTTCTTAAAGTAAGAATCGATTGTTCAAAAAAGAGTTCCAACTTTTCTCTAACCCCCAAAGCCTATGTTCTCGAATGTCTATATATGAATAGGTGTATCTAATGTTCACGGTAATTTTCTCAAATTCTAACTAATTCTTCAGAAAAAAAAATAAAATTCTCCCCCCCTTTTACAAATGAACAGAAAAGATGTTATGTAGGGGGGAAATTAGGGTTTGGATTTTGGGGGGGAAAAGGTGAGGGCAATTTCAAGTTTAAGGCCCACAAATTTGAATTCCAAAAACCTTTCACCATTAAAGGAAAACCTACTTTTTTTTGAAATTTTCGCCCCATTCTCAAAGAGGAAATGGAAAAACGCGTGCTTTTTGTACTGCATTGTGAACGTTTGCTGACATTGTTGTTAACGTTGTTGTGCTGAAATCGTGAAAAAGAAGAAGAAGCTGCTGGGTAGTTGGGAATTGCTGGAAAAAATAAAAGAGTGGGGTCGGTTATGTTGTACGTGTTGTTGTTGTTATTATTTTTGTTGGGTTTGAGGAATCTAAAAGGGTGGGCCGGATCTGGGAATTAAAGGGGTGGGCTGGGATTTGGAGAAAAATGGAATTGGGGAAGTGGGCTGTTTGGAATCAAATTAGATTTAAAGAATTATTAATTTATAATATTAATGAAACCATATATTTATATAAGGGTTTTCTGAAAATATATTATCTTATCAAAATGTGTGATTTTTTCCACTAGCTCAAGTCGGGATCAAAGAAAAATATTATTTTAAAGAGATTATTAAGTAATCAAATATTAATTTAGTAATGTTTTACTATATGAGACGAAGGATTATTATTTATTATCAATGTGAAAAAGTTAAGACAACTACATCAACGTGGGGGGGGAATCTACATGCATCTTCTTGATAGCTATAAATACTTTTCACTTGCAAGTCTAAAACATTGCACACCATGAAAGTGTTAGCAATAACACTATGGGTTCTCTTGTTTTTTATTTTGAAAAATACCAAGTTTGTCATTTGTGTAGGGATTTGTAGAGAAAACGAGCAACGAGCGTTGGAGACCTTGAAGAAAGAAGTATATGATCCCTCGAATCGTCTCGCTTCTTGGGTAGTCGGAAAAGATTGTTGTGAATGGGAAGGGGTCGTGTGCAACAATCTCACTCGTCATGTGATTGAGCTAAGAATTTATGTTGATTGGTTTGAGTCGAGATATCTAAGGATCAATAACCTAGAGTGGTTGACAAGTCTTTCGAGTCTTGAGAACCTGGAGATAGAAAGTGTTGATCTTAGCAAAGCTAATGAATGGCTACAGGTTATTAACATGCTTCCTTCTCTTGTTGATCTTCGTTTATCCAATTGTAGTCTTCATCATATAACACCTCTACTTGATTATCATAATTTTTCTTCACTCAAGTCTCTCAATCTTTCTGAGAATTACAACCTTGGTTCTTCTGTTCCGCAATGGGTTTTCTACCTTCCTAATCTCGTTTCTCTTGACCTGAGTTACTGTTATTTTATTGGCCCGTTACCTGACGGTCCAGTTAACTTGACTTCTCTCACAACCTTCAAGGCTTCTAGAAACTCTTTCAATTGTCGTTTACCCAAATGATTGTTTGATTTGAATAATCTTGAACATCTTGACCTCTCTACTAGTGGCATTGAAGGTGCGATACAAAGTAAGAGCGGAAACATAACAAAACTTAAATATCTTGATCTTTCTGAAAATAACCTCAACTCCACTATACCAAATTGGCTCTATGGATGCAAAGATCTAGAATCACTTGGCCTTGGTAGAAATCGTCTTGAAGGAACCCTTTTTCTCTCAGGAAATCTGTTTGAGGGAGATATATCTGAATTATTCAATGTTAGGAGTAATTTCCTTTCAGTTGGATTTGGAAATACTTCTTCTTTAACTGATTTGAGACTAGACGATAATAAACTCACAGGAGCTCTTCCGGAAAGTGTTGGCCATCTTTCAATGCTAGAATACTTTTTCATCTCTAACAATAGGTTGGAAGGTGTTGTAACAGAAAGTCATTTCTCTAAATTAACACATTTACAATACTTTGCTGCATCTAGAAATAATCTGACTTTAAAAGTGAGTCGGAATTGGATTCCACCTTTTCAAGCCACAGACATTGTATTACGCGGCTGGAATATAGGCCCTTTGTTTCCCATGTGGCTCCGAACTCAAAAGCGGATAATGAATGTCAACATATCAGATGGTGGAATACATGGTGAGGTTCCAACTTGGTTTTGGAACTTATCTTCTCAAATTCGATTTCTCAATCTTTCTCATAACCAATTTGTTGGTGAGGTTCCAATCATCTCGACACCTTCGTGGACGGATGAACATGAAGGTCCTTGGACAATATACTTGGGTTCCAACAATTTTAGTGGACCATTACCTTTGATTTCAACCATTGTAAGTGAGCTAGATCTCTCAAACAATTCTTTTTCCAAAGGTTTATCTAACTTTTTGTGTGCAGCAAAGAATGGATCTTACAGATTAGAGATCTTAAATCTCGGGGGAAATGATTTATCAGAAGAAATTCCTGATTGTTGGATGAATTGGCCAAAGTTGACGGTTTTAATCTTGAGGGACAATAATTTGATTGGAAGCTTACCAAGATCTATGGAGGTTTTGAGTAATTTGCGATCATTAGACTTACGAAGAAATAGACTTAACGGTCTGTTTCCTTCATCCTTAGGAAACTGCACAAAATAGATTTAGCTGAGAATGAGTTTATTGGAAAGATACCATCTTGGTTAGGAATGAGGTTTCCAACCTTGATAGTCCTTATCCTTCGGTCCAATAAATTCGATGGTGAATTGCCTCAAGAACTTTGTCATCTCAAAGATCTTCAAATCTTAGACCTTGCAAACAATACATTTGTTGGAATCATACCAAGGTGTATTGGCAATTTGAGTTCGATGGTCAAAGAAAAAAAGGAATTGGAATATGATGAAGACTTACATTATTCTTATTATATCGGAGTTTTGATAGAGAGTGCAATGGTGACGACTAAAGGCAACATGTACCCGTATTACACCATTTTGGCGTTGTTTACAAGTATGGATATGTCTAGCAATAATCTTTCTGGAGATATTCCTATAAGTGTAACACGTCTTGCAGGATTAAGATCATTTAATCTTTCCAAAAATAACCTAACTGGTAGGATTCCAAATGACATTGGTGACATGAAAATCTTGGAATCTGTTGATCTTTCAGAAAATCAACTTTACGTCAAATCCACAAGTTTTCGAGTTTGTCTACATTGAGCTACTTGAATCTATCTGATTAACAATTTGTCAGGTATGATACCATTGAGCACTCAACTTCAAAGCTTTGATTCCACGAGTTTTCAAGGAAACAAACTTTGCGGACTTCCACTCTTGATGAACTGCAGTCCGAATGGTAATATTCCGAATCACAAGTATGAAGATGATGAGAGTGACAAAGATGAAGTGGATTGGTTTTACATTTCAATGGCAATAGGTTTTGCACTAAGCTTTTGGGGTGTTTGTGGTTCATTGCTTTTCAAAAGATCATGGAGACATGCTTATTTTCGTTTTCTAGACCGTAGCTGGGAAATGTTGCTTGCAAAGTTACCAGTATGTTGAGAGATATGATTAAGGATATTGCTATCATCAAAAGTTAGTTTGTGTGCTTATATTTCTCATGTTAGCAATCATGTTGTTTCATTTTGTATTCAAATGAATGTTTCTGAAGATGTTCAAACATTGTTGTTTCTTTCATAGTTCCAATTTTCATTTTTCAATCATAGAGTTGTGAGACATATGTTAATTTCTTTATTTATAATTTTTTAAGTACTTCATAAAAAAAGTTGTGTACTATAATTATATAAATAATAAATCAAACAAAAAAAAATCATTTTGAAATTTTTTGACATGACATCATATCGGTCAAAGTTTAATTGAGAATGCCAAAATGGTCTTTATATGCAAACTTCATAGTAACAAAAGCTAGCAAGGCAAAGTTCTCTGATTTGGCTGGACAGAGTACTTCACTTGCTGTCCTTAAATTCCGTGGCGGGGGCGTCAACCCGCCCCACACTCACCCTCGTACAACCGAGCTATTATTCATGATCGAAGGAAGCCTCGAGGTTGGCTTAGTGGACACTACTAAGAAGCTCTATATATATACTCAAACTCTACAAATTGGTGACATGTTTGTGTTTCAAAAAGGACTAGAGCATTACCGGTACAATGGATGATCAGATTCGATTGGGCTAAGTCATTCAAGACTGATGTTGCAACCATTTAGAAGATCAAGGCTGATCCCTCATCCTTTTGATTGTAAACTAGTTTACCGATGGATTGACAACGAATTATCAACAAATATTATTAGCTAGATGCGATTTTGCGATAGATTTGCAACAAAATGGCATAGCTAATTCTCTTCTTTTTTGTTTGTGTAGTGCTTGTCCTTAAATTATTCTCTTTGTCCCAATTATTCTCTCACCCTTGTGTTTTGATCACCTTTCTTGTTTAAATGATCCTCGTCGATACTTTTAGAGACTTGTACTAGTGATATCAGATTTTGTGAAGAGTTGTTTCTATTTTTCGCATATTTTATGAGTTTTATGAAAAATATCATTTTATGACTTATATTGATTCTTAAATGTTAGTTCCGCGTGTGTTCGTACTTCATATTAGAAAAAAGTTTTGAGATTTCGATATTATCAATGTATTAAATCTAAGGCAAGACCTTTGAGTTTCTAGACAATAAAAGAGTCATAAGATGGAAAGGTACAATCCAAAACAGTTCCAATAAGAATCAATCAAATTGCAACCTAATACTCCCTCTATCCCAATCATTTTTTGAGAGTCAAACAATTTAAGTTTGGTCGAGAATTTGCTCATAGAGTCTTCAATTCTTTGAAAATGAAATTTGTATATTTGTGAACTACATAAAAAAAATACTATATAAGAGACAATAATTGATGATTCAAAATATTTAAAAGATATATGAAAAATTTACGGTTAAAGATAAACTTATTTGAATCTCGAAATCTGAAATGTGTCACATAAATTGGGATAGAGGGAGTATATGAAAAGAAGAATAAAAAATACACTCAAGAAAAAGAGTACAACAATATTCAAATTTCAAATGCCAAAGAATCAATGGTCCAATACAAAAAATGAAACAAAAGAAAACTTATACAATAAGCAAATACATTTTAAAAAAATAAACTTTTTCTAATTGAACCCCCCCAAAAATAAATGGCTTCTTATTAACAACCCTACATGATTTCCTCACTTCACCTTGTCCATCAATTAATACTTCAACTCTACCCAATTTAACCATGGCCTCACCAAACTTAGTGTAAAAATCAGGATCATTAACAATATCATCCACAATATTCTTTGTCAATTCATCTAATGCTATTTGTTGATCAATTTGAAGAACTCCATTTCCCTTTTTAATTTCTTGAAAATATGAATTATCTACCAAAGATTGAGTCTTCACGTCAAGAGGATAAGTGTTGTCAAATATTAATGAAATTCTAGGACATATATCCTTTAATTCAGCCAATAGCCATGGGCTCATGGTTGGATCAGGACCACCAGTTTTATTGAAGTTGTATATTCTATCTTTGAAGAGTGAGCAACGAGCAATTCCAACAGTGTGGCCATCTAGAATTGAAAATAAACAAGTAAAACGGTCAATGAAATGAGATGAAAATCGCCAAAGTTCAAATTTCAATAGGTGATTTCTTTCAATCTATCTAAGTTTTGATGGTCAAAGTTATTCAGTAACCATGTTGGTTAATGGTTACGAGGTAGCATGTACTCAGCGTACGGTAGATTCACCAAACAGAGTTATGGATTCAACAGATGTAACATCTCGCAATTTGAAATGACTAGGAAGAAGCTAATAATTGGAAATAGTCATTTTTGGAAAGAATGAAAAATCTGGAAATTTTGTTAAGTTAGAATAAGTTGAGTTTTGGTCAACTTCAAACAGCCATAACTCCTAGATCAGGATGAGTTATGTGTATTTCCAGATATGGTTGGAAAGATCTTGGAATAACCTTTCCAATGCCTCTAAGTTTGCGCGATTCCGAGTTTGTATGAGTAATTTATGCCCTTTGAAATTTGGGTTGTTGGAATAAGGACAATCCAATCCGGATTTTGAAAGGATCGTTTAGTCTTTTCCTTGCCCAATTATTTTATTTCATTTTTGGTGATTAAGTTAGGGTCTAATCAGAATTAGATCAGTTTACGCTTTTACCAAAGCACTCTAGGGCTTGGAGAAAAGTGAAAATAAGAGGAGAAAGGATAAGAGAAGCAAGATTCGTCAAGATCGTCGAGTTTAGCTTGTGGATTTCATTGGGGGTGATCCCTACAAGGTATGTGAGATCGCATAGCGTTGGGTTAGTTCACCCACACGTCCAATTTGATTCAATTTCAGCAAAGTATATTGATTTGAAAGTAAATCCCTTAAATTCTTGATGAAGTTCGTTTGAATCCTTGTGGGTTGTGTTGTTGGAGTTTTCTTGAGATTGATTCACGTTTTTAGTTGTGTTTTCGAGTAGAATCTGATGTTATTTGAGGGTATAAATGATTCTGAGTGTTTGGGGAAAGAACCAAACGAAGAAGGAATTTTCGTCGGGCAAATCTAGGCAGTGCCTCCGCGTCGCGGACTTGTTCCCTAGATTTGGGAAAAAATCATTTCGCATCGCGGAGCGGTCACAGACCGTTCTGCCTCAAAAGTTGTTTTCGAACCAAAAATTGAAATACTTCTCCGCATCGCGAACGCACCTTCAAACAGTGAAATTTTGATATTTTCTCAAGTGTAGCTATCTAAAAACACTCCTAAACATCATGGGATCTTTCCTATCTCAAATCATGATCCTTGAATCCATAATTCAATTCAAGGAAAGTTAGGAGTCAAGTCTAGAATTTAAAGAAGCTAGTCAAGGGAAGTTATAGTCATCAATGTTTTCAAAGATCTTTTACAAACGTTTTAACTTTGTTTTAAGACTTAAAGTTCAAGTTGAGTAAAGAGTAAAGAGTAAAGATTGAAGTTCATTTCTTCAAAGAAGTATATGGGGACTATGTATTCCCAAAGAGTTTAAAAAATGTTTTCACATTTGAGAAAGAAAGGGAACATCGATTTCAAGAGAGCTTTTAAGCTAAGTTTTTTGAGTAATTATCTCAAACCAAAGAAAGAAGTTTTGTTTTTACAAAACATATGAGCTAAGATATTTTGGGAGTAGTATTGAGCACCGATATGGGGACAAGTTTGAGTTCAGATAACTCACGTCTCCATAAACCATGTAGTCATCATGGGTAGTAAAGAATCATACTTTTTAGATGACTCCTTAAGATGCTTTTAGCATAAGCTAATGGATCCACTAAGTTAAGCGTTCTATATGACGGCAAAGTATAGGACAGTTCTGGCAGCATAGGCAAGACGTTGTATCACCACTTAGGCTCATAGTGGTGGTTATCTGTTAGAGAAACTCCCATAGAAACTATATTACTTTACTATATGAGTAAAGTTGAGTTTGTTATTGCATTTTCTTTAACGAACTAAGTTGTTTTTACTGTTTTATAAAGCTTTTCATATATTGCATGTGTTTCATTGCTTTATTTTGAGTTGAGTATTCTGAGTTGAGAAGAGCCAAGGTAAGTGTTTCTTTCAGAATCTTTTCAAGCCTATGTTATGTTTAGCATTCCAACTCGCATACTCATACATTCAATGTACTCATGCCAGTTTGCCTACATCGTTTTATGATGCAGATGCAGGTAACCAAGATTAGCATCTAGCACCTCGTTGATCATGTTCAGCACTCAGATTCAGTTGGTGAACCTCCTTGCATTCCGGAGGACTCTTTTTATCATTTGCTTTCTAGTTTTCAGTTGTTAGGATGATCGGGGTCCTGCCCCGACATCCCTCCTTGTTTT